TGACCCCTAATCTTACACATAGGGGAACAGAGTAAGCAAGGAGAAGGTCATCATACAACCTGTGCTGAAGTTTGGACAATCATCATTTTCAGGATTAAGTACATTGTAAATGATTCACTGAACAGCCAGATAAATGGTCCAAAAGGCAGTAAAGGCTTTAAAATGAAGAAAGAAAATTTGTCTTACCTCTCTGGTTGTCTTTTTTTCCAAAGAATATTCAATTCGGTTTATCTCATCATCTCTTTGTACACCTCTTTCCTACTTTTTAGTTTAGAAATATTCTCTGGGAAATGGCCTATCAGGGATTAAACTGAGCCCATGCTCAAGCAGAAGAAGTTTGTACACATCCTACTTGTGCACTTTATTCTTATGCTGAACCACAGGCATCATAGGACTAGTTAACCTGCTCATAACAGAAAGGAAATTTATACAGAAAACAGCATTACAGTATTCTCTGGGGAGTCACTCAATAATTGTTGGAAACATCAGATTGGATTGATGGAGATACTGATAGGAAAATAAATACACAACAGAAGACAAAACTCTATCAAGCAAGGATGCTCCTGGGATGTCGTGTTGTCACTCAGTTAAGCAAACTAAAAAGGATTCCCTTGGTGAAGGTTATAAGAATCATTTTATTCATCTCTACGCCACCTCCTCAAAGCTGCAATTCCTGGAAAGTCATTACAGTTCCTCCTCCTACTACAAAACAAGCAGAGGATTTTCAGAAAAACATTTAGTCTTTTAGCAGTATTTCATGACTTACATGACATTTATAAAATGGGCCATAATTTTATAACAGAAAGTTAAGATAAAACATTCGGAGTAGGGTAAGATAACACATTCGGAGTAGGGAAAGGTGAAGCGCCTGAGTGGAGCTCACTCTGGAACAACACAGTGAGGGGGCTCTACAGGACACTATTGAGACAAAAACCAGCAAGTATCTTCATAAACATTAAGGCATTTAGTTCATTAATTCTCCAAGCTGAGATAATAGCACTAAAATGACCACAGAGGTCAGGTCATAGAGAAAAAGAAATCTATGCCACCTGAATTAATTCTACTGAAGTCTTCCTCACAGAGCTAATCTTGTGATTATGAACCAAAGAAACCTGGCCCATGAAGGGCAGGGGCAAAGGGACACCCAACCACTACCGGTACCAGGAGTTCTCAACACACTTTGTCCTCACAGGTCTTGCCCTCTTTAGGGACAAAAACTCGCCTGATGTTGGATAAGGGGCTCCTACTGCCACGGAAATTTTGCTTATGCTCCTATAAAATGTCTTAGCTGCCCATTCTTGAAAGACCACTCAAATTCACATGTCTGATTTATACTGATTTACATCAGAAACAGGAAGACATCCTAGAGCTCACATCAGCCAATCTTGGTAGAACTGAGAAAAAAATACCCTGCAAAATACTGATCGCATGTGAACATCAACCATATAGACCCATCTTAATCAATGGAAGGGTTTTTCTATACCAAACACAGGAATATTGAGGATGACACTGCTTAACCATAAAGGAAAAATAATACTCCTGTGCAGCATGAGCAAGGTATCTTGCCATATACTACTGTATCCTTTTCACCACATGTTTTCTTGAGGAGTAGGTAATAGAAGATTAATACTAATTTTCTTAATGGATGCACTTCTCTTACCACAAAAAGACCTAAACATAGCTCCATAGTGTTATGCTGCATAGAGTCAAAAATACAATAATTCCCCTCCCATGGTCAATGGGTAGAGAGACATGCACTGATCTTCACTGAGAGATTCAGCCCACTTCAGACCTAAACACCTTTCACAGTGAATATGAGCCCAGCACTTTTGCAGCAATATAACAGCTTTGTTGGCACAAAATGACTATATTTCAAGCAAGAGAGCAGTAATGAAAACAGAACTGAAATGTGGAGGGGAAAAAGTAGTTCTGCTTTTGCTCTTCAGTGTGAGGTATATAGTTGAACCTCACTGAGTTCTTCACAGAAGAGTTGGTCATTTTTTTCTTGGCTTCTAGAAGACGAGGATCATCATGCTAGCAACAAGCCTAACTTTCAACTCATCTGGTCCAAGTTTTCTAATTGTATTTTTGAGCTTCAAATTCTCCATTTGCCATCTCCACTTTCTTGTCTCTACTTGTGTTTAGAAAGTGGTCAAAGGCTGTGGAGCTTTCTGGCTTTGCAGACATGCAAAGCATTAAAAAAAAAAAAATCTACTGTACCCATCACAAAACCTGGAAGAAGCAACACAACACAGGCTGAATTCCCCATTTCAGTCCTGGTTTTTCCACTGAGCTACTGTGCCACCTATAACCTACCACCCTCACTCATGTGTTGAAAATTTATAACTTTAAGAAATATTTGTGAAACATGAAAGCTCCATTTGTTTGTTTGTTTTCAAAGAAAGACTGCCCTAAAAACATATTTTACTTCCAAAACTATATTCATTTGCTGAATAGTTATCCTACACATTTTAACAGTGAGCTGCTGTCCCCTTGACAAATAGTTGAGAATGAACTATTTTTCATTCTCAGAATTATTTTTATTTATTGAACAAATTCACTGATGCCAATTCTGACACACTCAAGAAACATTTTTTCCAAATGTAACACAAGTGTGAATGTAGAACACTTAAAGACAAAACACAAATATATATTGAAACAAAGTAAAAGAGATTCGTGTTCTTCAGAGATTTTACAGCACCAAAACTATGCGAGAAGGTCCAACATTACAGCAGGATAAAACTGCATCAAGAAGAGCCAGCAGAAAACCAGGAAAAGTGCAGGGAAGGTAATACTAATAATCTGCATTAAAATTCACATACACAGGTTTTCTGAATGTTGTTCTGAATTGTGTTTCCTTTGAGACAGTGAAGTTAAACTATTAAACCATGTGTGACATGCTGGTAAGTGGCACCTTCATTGAAAGTACTGTGGATCATTAACTTAGAGCTTTGCAGACCTCTCATTTTTTCCAACACTGTCTCAAAGGAAACACAATCTTAGGTGCCACTTCCGTTTAAAGCCTTAGGAATGACAAACATGAATTCAAAGCTATATCTGAGACTTCTGCATTTGCTGCACTTTTACAGCTTTATGCTTCAGTCTGTTCAGGTGTTCGTGTATTTAATTCCCACAGTACATACAGAAACCCACTACTCTTCAGTAAAGAGAACCTTGTACTTAAACTTGCACTCACAAAACTTGCCAAATCCTGCCTTGAGATGCATATCTACGTCTTCATTTAAATCACATCTTTGCTGTGCATTTAAGTGTTGTGCAGACAGCTAGAGCTACAGTAACTCTGTAGAGTTATTTTTTGGCCAGTCAATTCATCAACCTGGAGTTGGCCATGCCCAAGCGGCTCCTCTCCTCCAAGTGACTGCCCAGAAGCTGCTCTCAATTTAGCAATCTCATAACTCAACATTTAGAGATTCCCCTTCCTTTATGTAGATATACACACATATATATAGGGGAAAAAAGAGTTACTCTGTTGCCTTTCATTTCGTCCACATCGAACTGACCAATACAACACAGACCAGAGGTAACATCAACTAATTGGTCCAAAAACTCTCTCCCCCACCACTGTTGTTAACATACAGCCCACATCCCCAGAATATTTACGCCAAGATGTTTATGCTTTTGTCACGTAAGGGAAAAAAAATCTACTACAAAGCTAACAAAAGACTAAAATCTGATGAAAGCAATTTTTAAATAACTTTAAAATACCACCACATTCTAAAGCATCAAAAAAGGCAAAATACTGGATTCTGTGTCACTCCCAATAAAGAGCCTTGTTAGTGTCTTTTGATTTCTGAGTAGTCCTTTCAATAACCACACAACGGCTCTTCTCATAGGTCTGTTTTGTGCAAGCAAGTTTCTCAGTAAACAGCAACTCTGCTCCCTATGACATTTGGAACAAAAAGTGCAAGTCCCTGATAGTCCATATGCAGAGCTATTCATTTTTGCTCACACAGACTGATAAAATATGGTAAGATTTATAATTAGTGCATATCAAATAGCTTTATAATTGTTACTTAAAGCAATCCTGTTCACTTTTTCCATTAAAAAGCTTTTTTCCATGAAAGTGGGATCACTTCAGCTAGTTCATGCACACCTGCTTTTTATTCTTTCATCTTGTCTTCCTATTCTTCCGATGTATTTTTAACATCTTGTCAAAAAAGGCATCTCCCTACCATCACAGGCACTGTTAGGAAGAATCTGGAGCAACATTTTGACAAAGCAGCGCAAACATGTCCTATAATGGCCAAAAGATGAAATATGAAATGTCATAGGCAAACGTGTTAGCAACCTCACAAAGCAAAGGCAGAAAGGAATCTGTTATTCATCAGTTTTTAATAAGGCAGAGCTAACCATAAGAGCAAGCTATAGAAAACAGTAGCACTGAAAGAAAAAAGAAAAAAAGAGATAAAGAATGACATAGTGCATCTTTCCTGTGGTGAAGCAATACATGACCAGAAGTACCTCAGCTACACTCCCCTCTGAATTAGGTCTCCTCTGTATAATAGGAGGACCATTTTCAGAGAAGCCCCCGGCCCACAGAAGGATTTCAGCAAGCACCACAGAGCAGCATTTCAATATCCAGTCCCAACATACCGCCACACTAAGATTTCCAACAAATGCTACCAGAATCATGACTTCTTTTTTATAACATGTATTAGTGTATGATTTTTCCACAAAAAAAGCATCCAAGGTAGACACTACTATACGGAAAAAAAAAGAAATGGTAGCTTGAAACACATGAGAACAGCATGGCCACAGCATGTCAAGGCAAAATCACAGCAACAAAGTATGTCCATAAACAGGCAATTTTAACACAGAACCATTTCTAGCTGCCTGGTGATGCAAAAGTTTTGAATAAAAAGAGGTCCTTATGATATAGGCCATCATGAAAACTGGATTTTGCAATGCAATTCATTCCCCAAACATTATTCAGCTGTGCATTTTTGAGGAGGTTGTTAAGGGGGCAGGTCTTTGCTTACCCTCGCAATACGCAGAGTCCCCTTGGACAGCGAGATACCCGTTCTTGCACTCACAAGTTGCTTTTGTGTTCCAGTTTTTGCATTCTGAATTTTCACTGCACACATGCCCCTCCGCGCAGAAGTCATGTCCTGAAATACAAGAAACACACAACCAGGTATTAAAACATATTTACTTCAGATACACACAATATAGTATCTGTATTGACCACACTATGCTCTGAATACCTTTGGCAAGGTACTTTCCAGAAATTTTCTTTCTGTTCAACCTAACACACGGAGGCTTTCCAGATCCCTCTATCGAGGCATTCTTAGAAGCATAATATTGCTAAAAATTTATTTGCATGACTGTTTTTAGTCAGAAGTCCCCAAAGCAGGAAGCTGTACCAACACATTAGCCTTCTACCGAGTCTACCCAGAATAAAATATATAAATCACAGTTTACTCAGTCTTACTCTTTCTGGTCTTCTCTGTTTTATTTGACCATTTTTTATTGACTTGGAAGTTTACAGGCACAGGCTTAAACTATGCATAACAAAAATGTAAGCATAACATCAGCTACGTGTATTCCAGCTCACACTTCAATGAATATACAAATAGTTTTTGCCAATTTTGGTCATCAAGGAGTAAGGTAAAAGTTCTGGTTCACTAATCCTAAAGCTTTCTAAAATTAAGACTGCTAAGGAAAAGAAGATTTGGACTTCCAAAGTCTAAATGTCAAGCTCAGACCTTTATTCATACTCTCTGATTTGATATTCAGGGAACTTGTGAAAACTTTAGCTCATATTAAACATAATTTTCACTTATGGCAAGCAAAGGCAGATAATCTGTCAGTGTTCAGACTCTATACTTCAGAACAATTTTATGAACAAAGTATCTTCCTTAAAAAAAATTGGGTCTTTTTTGCCTCCTTTAATGAAAACTGCAGATATTCTTTCCAACCTTCATTCATTTCACAGTCTGGTAAAAACCACTGAAGTATTCCAGATACAGCCTTATCGAGCCTGGGAGCATTTTAGACTGGTTAAAAAAATAATAAAGGAAAAAAAGGGTGCAGCGCCACTGCCTTTAGCCATTTATTCTATCACAGTATTTGACTTTTCATTTTTGCCTTTATAATTATAATTGAAAGTGAACACTGGAACCCATCTCCCCAAACTTATCCATTCAGCATCTAATTTGTACTGAGTAGGATTAATATGCTGATAGCCTTCCCAATAATATGCAGGAGATGAAGAATTTTCTATTTTCTTTGTCACCGTTTCCCCCAAGACTATGACATCCTATTTCCTGCTGCCGCAGAATGATAATTCATCTTTGAACCCACATAGGGTTATATTTGATTAGTATTGTTAGGATCTACTACTACGAGAGCCTCAGTAACATATTAGTATGTTGGGCTAGGCACTATACTAATACCACACGGGGAAATGTTTTAATTTAGTAGGGATTGTTGCTACAGTCTATGGCTTTGTTATATGTACATTTCCCACTTTTCCAAACTTGCATAAAGTATTTCACCTTTATCAGAATGCTTCAGTTGCAATATCCTCCAATATTTTGCACCAAAAAAATATTCTAGACTTTTTATCTCTTTAGTTGTACATTTTTTCATGTGACGATTGCCTATAAAATGGTATTTTCTCCTTTAAGAGACTGGATCAGGAGATTCCTGCTTATAAGCTCATGAAAAATTTAACACTTGTATTGGCAGAAGGGATGACTCCCCAGCAGTCCGTGCCAAGTCCCCAGTCCCAGATCAACCATCCTTGTCTAGCAGCACTTTCTCCAGAGCACAAGCCCTTGATTAGTTTTCCATATCACAGTGCAGTTCTGCAAGGTCAGCACTGGTGATCTGCCACGGCTGAAATTCATAAATAGGCACGATGACCGCCCCAAATATCCATTTTTTACCACTATAGCTACTGTCTTTAAAAAAACACTGTGGGAAAATCCTTACTGCTTTTGATCTCTTATTATCAACTCTATTTGAGAAGAACCATCTCCATTCCGAGTCAGACTCTTGCTAATGTTTTCAAGGTTGAAGTTTGTAAAAAGAGCACAGAAGAAAGTCAACACTCCAGTTTTGTACCTCAATTGTGTGTAATTAGAGGTTCTAAAGAACTTTATTGTTCTCATCTTATTAAGAATACAAAATGTTAGAACACCTGCCACATCTATAGATTGCCCTGGCATTTACTAAAGACACGTGAAATTGTTTTCTTTTAAAATTATTGCCTAAAAACTTTTTAAATTTTGAAAACTTATTCAATAGCTCTGTAAATGCCACATGGCAAGGCACCTCTGCTAAGAGCAGCCACATTGAAACAATGTGAGTTAAAAAGGTTTTACAAAACCACAATAATTTAATGTTAACCAGCAGAAAAATGTACACTCTGGTATTGAAAAGTGAGGGTTCACTGCAACTATAGAGAAACAAGCTGTCCCTTGGATCAGGGCCTTTTGCAAGCATTTATTTTTTTTAATAAGTTTCACACAGTGAAGCACATTGACCATCTCAGAAGAGCTAAGAGAAGCATGCCTAGGCTGTATTGCTCTTTCCTTGGACTCCTGCTTCCCAGCTGGGGCTTTGGATGCATAGAAGTAATAAAGTGCTACCTACTCTATCTGAGTTCATATCAGCCTGAAGTGCCATCCCTGCTCTTCAGGCAAATTAAGGGCACCTGGTCTTTGGATTGTCATGTGAAGAAATAGGTTACCTATGCACTGCTCAGCTTTCACAGGCTCAAATCAACATCAAACTTACGCCTAGCTTAAATGTCAACCTATGCCAGTCTATATTCAGGGGAACAATTACTCCCAAGCAAGCAGAACGGGTAAGAACGCATACATCTCATTTTTATTAGTTCTTTGCTGTGAAAGGATCCTAGGGCTCCTCTAAAATACACAGAGGAAAACCACTTGCTGATAATGCGGCATGATCTGAGGATCCCAGTCACTGGTGGCTACTGGTGGAGGGTACAAACTCCTATTACCCAGGTGAGAATAACTGAATGTCTTCAGAATATTCAGCAAAGTCTTATCTGAGGCAGCCAGCTACCCTCCAAATATAAAAGGAGGCTTTAAATAGAAGCACTGCATCCCAGCAAGCCAGCAATTGGAGAGGACTTGACAGAAGCACACAACATCTTAAATAGTTCTGATAATCTAAACTAATTTCAGGCCAGCACAGATGATGAGGCAAGTAAGCATGAATTAAAATTAGACAGGCACATGCATAACAGATGTCAGAAACCATTTCCCCCACATATACACGGGAAATCATAAACATGCACAACAGCCCTTCAAAGTCATTCAAGACATTCAAGATACAATTAGATAGTAGCATGAGGGGAATTAAATATTGAAGAGTCTGTTCGGATTTTTGATGGGCCTGATGACCTCTGTTCCTTCCCTAAACATTTCTGATAACATTACTGCCCTCCTTACTGAGGAGTTAAAAATGTTTGCTTCATTTCTGCTGCTGAAATGTTTGCTTCATTTTTTCCTAAAAAAGTATATTCGTATCATCCTTCTGAAGTTTGACTGCACAACAACCATTAATAAATATGCTGACAGTTATGAAAGTGTTCAGATTCATGCTCCTGTACATAAAATTATCACTTGTGCAGCATCAGGAGCTACGCTCAGAGAACTCAAAGGTCCCAAGTAGTTTATGGGAAATTAAACATTTATTCCATTTTCAGCTACTTAAATAATATTTTTAGTCTGCCAAACTTCTTCAGGTCCTAGTTTCCAGAATCAGCAAATCCAAAGCAATGCACAAAGCCACTTTGCACTGTAATCTAATTATTTAGGCACCTAATATGTTTGGCAATTGGGTTTAATTAATGAAGGATACAAGAACTCAAGACTACACCTGCCATCAGTATATTCTATCCACATCACTTCAACATCAAGAGTGGTGCCTCCTCCATTTTTCTGGAGGTTTCCTCATAGCACTTCTAAAACTTCCCGTATTTCCTCCAAAATCTCTCTTCATCAGCTGGTTCAACAAGCTAGCACTTCAGCAACCCACACGTTCACTGTTTCACATCAGAGCTTTCCTTCCAGAAAGGACACTAGCCACATTGCCATTAATAGGATTAGTCATGTTCAAAAGGTCTAAGGTAATTTTACCCTCAAAATCACCACAGTTCACTTGCTAGGTGAACGTGTAAAGCACCTCTGTGGGACATCTTGCAGGAAGAGCCATAAAATTTGCACTAGCAATTACACCCTCTGGGGATCTGAATCACTTTTTAATGAGTCAGGAGCAAAGCAGCACCCCGCACAGCTTTTATGCCTTCTGAGACCATGGTCCCAGAACTCCAGGGTTTGACATAAAACAGTAACTTTGCAAATTCTTTCAAGTTGCTGTATGAATGACGGCCTTATTGCACGTTTATTTGCGTGCACCAGAGTAATGGCATTGCGCTGCCTAACAAGCTTATAAAGACAAGTGCTTTGAGGATAATAGAGCCCTTTAAATCCTTAATACTGCTGTAACGATGTATAGGAAGCAATTAATTCATATTTATCAACCTCCAATAAGAAAAACTAAAGCAACCTAAAACCTTGAAAAAAATCATACATTGTAGTAATGCATCAGAAAATCTGATTTCTGAAAAAGCAAAACTCTGTTCCATAGCTAGAGGGAGGAACGAGAAATATGCTACTTTAGGAGTCTTCTCAAGCAACAGTTGAAATATTCAGGAACTTTTTAAAGTCACAACAAAGCACTATATAAAAGTACAGTGGAAGCCCCAGTTTTTTTGGATTCAGCTACTGATTTTTGTGGTTAAAAAAAAAAACACACACACACTCCAGCTCATCAGTGGGATTCTCCACCTCCTGCTAACCAGTGTCAGCAGTCAGTCTAATTCAGCCAGCCAAACCATGTTAAAACAGGATAGCAAAGAAAAAATGACTTCCTACAGAAAGCAAACAACTTGCACTGCTTCATTATTTCTCACGCTCTCTCTTTTAAGGAGAGCATGATTGAAGCAGCTAAGGCTGTTGAGTCTGTTCTCACCTACCAAAATTGAGAGCATAACACCACAAAAGTACTCTCATGAAACTTTATTTGAATCACTCATTCAAAAGAGGGGAAAAGATTGCTCTTAAACAGATGCACTGTCTCTGGCAAGGAGAAAAACAGTTAAAAGGAACAATAAAACATCTTTATGACACTATATTTTGTATTAGATTTGCTTCTGGGCTACAAAGAGTGTAGTAAGCATGCTGAAAGAAAAATGGAAATTCACCAGAAAGCAGTAAAAATATGTTTTATTGTGCAAAGACTCTGTGTAAAGCTTCACAATTAAACTTCTGCAAGTCTAAAATAGGGCTTACTAATACCACATTGTCCTGAAAAATGTGGAATAGCCACATACTTGAGGCAGAAATTTATGCTCCAGTGAAATAAGCTATTGCATTGCTGCGGAATGAACAAAAGCTGAAGGGCAAAACTAGATCTACTGCAGACAACTAAACACTCAGGGCAAGATCCTCTGTATGCACCTGGCAGCACCTCATTCTTGCATTCAGGTAGATCAGTTCACAAAATCAGCTGGCCTTTTACAGCCGAATCCTTCCACAATCCACCTTCTTCATTTCAGGGAAATCTAGAAGCCAGGTTTGACCAGTATGTTAGCTTTAGCCATATTATAAGAGCATGTGGCAAGGCAGAGGAAGAAAAGGTATCATTTTCTGTTGTTGCTTTTCCAGCCATTTACAAACAATAATGACCATCCGGGAGCCCACTAGCTGAGTATATTACAGTACTCAACCTAGTACTTTGCTGACTCACAATTTCAATCCCCCACAAACACCACAGGTTTTTTTCCTCCCCTCCTCCTAGCACACCCTGCTTTATTTTAGACATTTACTTATTATTGTGGCAGGTATTACAGAGATCCCTGAAGACAGTATGGTCTTATTTCACAATATAATGAAATTTCCCTACTTTGTTCCACATTTGCTTCTTCTGTTGATCCCCCACATTCATCTTTAATAAAAGAAATTCACCCCCTGCAGTTAAAGCACAAGCTGCAAACTTTCTATCCTTTCCTTATTTAAAATAGGCATTCCATTTTTTCTTTCCAGAATACAAAATTCAGTACAGTTTTTTTTTGTTGTTTCAACAGCTATGTACTAAACAAAGCATGCACTGAAAAACCTAACCATCATTAAGTGTGTCCTGATAAACTTTTCATGGAATTTAGTCTTGTTTAATATTACAGGCTCCTAGTAAATGCATACTAATAGTCCTGTTACTGGCTTGCAAAGGCCAATGATAAGTATTATCTATGTCATCATAGCATATGATGCAAAATGTGCACACAATGTGCAAATGATCCACTTAGGCTTCCAATAAATATTCACATCATTCAGAACATGTATACTGAGGTATATAGGGGTATACATTCTATTTAAAGAAATAAGAAGCAATTTAGGAATGCTAACCCCAATATATGTATAATGATGTCTATTTTTAAAAAGTACTTATCATTAACAATAATATAGAAATGAATAAGAACTTATCCTTTATCAATTCTCAGGCTTTCAAATTTCTAATACTTTTAAGTAGTGAGGCTTTTTTTCCCCCTCAGTACTACAGAGTACATCAAACTGGATCATCTGTTACGAAGTATCTCTAAGATACCAAGCGCTCAGAGAGAGAAAAGCAACATTTACTGCTTGCTTAAATAGTTACAGATGTTTCTGAAAGGCATTAAAAAATAAAGCATCTATCCTTAACTTCCAATCCCAGCAGTCTCAGATATGCTGGCTCCTGAAGCCACATGCACATGCTTCCAATGTCAAGGTCACAAAGTATTTAACTACACACATACAGTTAATATTTCCTTAGGTATCAGCAACGACACTTGGAACTTGCACAAGGCAAGCAGATAGACCAGCAGGTCCTCAACTAAGCCTGGAAATGTCCTCCTTGGGATATATTTTGCTTGAACACTTTTGGAAGCACTTCTGAGGCTGACCCAGGAATCTTAACTTGAAATAAGCAACTCAACCTCATCCTTTCTTCTCCACCCCTTCCTTTCCTTCATCCTCCTGTTTAAAATTCAGAGCACTTATGGCTTTGCATCTGATGATTCTTTCACCCAAAGGAATAGCACCAACAGGTTTATGACAAGGCTAATTATAGATTCAGGTTTAGAGAGGTACTAGAACTGTACAGCTACTGTCTTGTTAAACAGGATTCGCTTGTTCCACTGTATGTCCCAGTTATACCAGCGACATATATTCCGTATAAGCACTGGTGGTGTCTGGCTTACCTCTGCAAACACTGCAACACTGGTTCTCTGGAAGAACATGGTCTTCTTCTGAGCAGTTCAGTGGAGGACAGGTCTCTGTTACTTTTACTAAAACTCCATTCTATGGAAAAAAAAACATTTAAGAGAAATGACATGGATGAAAACATGTACAATGGCAAGAATCACAATTCTCAGTCTATAACTCTGGCAATCTTTAGCAGTAACAGTAGTAAACTGACAGGCAGCAAGCTAAAATCATTTTTTACACCACAGTATCAGATTTAGGTTAATCAATTTGGACTTTTCTATGCTCAGAGTTTAAGAAAAAACAACACATCAGCTCAAAACTCCATACTCGTCCTCACTCCCTTACCCTGTTTTAGTATTTGAGGGAATTCAAGTACTTCAGATTTTTGTTCAGGACATTTATTTCTGCTTTACCTAAGTATTAGTTTTACCCGACTTACAATTTTAGATTCTACATACTACACTGATTTTATTCTGTTCAGGTCGGAGCAAGGAGAAGACCAACATTTTCCAGTGTCCTGCATTGTTTTACTGTGTACAAACTACAGGCACCTGCTCTTTAAAAGCACTGACAACCCGATTTCCAAAAAGAAGGTCCTTCAGTAAGGAAGACACATGACAGTACAGAAATCCAATCCTGAGGTATCCAAACCAGAAACTGCTGTGTAAAATATAAAACTAGGTCGAGATATTCATATGATTTTGCTTTCTTCTGGATTTTGAATAAAACTGTTCAAAGGATATCTGGCTATCGGTAAAGATATTCCTAAAATAACAGACATAGGGGCATCCAGAGAGAGATTTTACATCATTTTTACTCCATCTTCTTCCCATCTAGGAAAGCAGCTCAATTTCCATTCCATCACATTAACTGGTTGTCCTGCTTGTTTCTTAATATGCTGTGCCAAAATAGCCTCTTCTCCCCTCTTTCTCCTCCCTCCAGTCTTCCATGCACCTTCATTTACTTCACCAACATCCTTTCTAGACATCCAACATCCTTCACTGTAAACTCACAAGCAGAGAGACCAACAAACAGCCCTCTGCGCAGTGAAAACTGCGGAAACTATCCCACATGACTGTCCACACTTAGGTGACCCCATTTTCCTAGAGAACAAAGGACTGTAAAACAAGAATTTCCACTTAAAAATCAAATCTGTGACATTTTCCAGCCATCACACTGTCATATCTAGAACACACTACCACACTCTGATGAAAGTCTACCTCTAACCTGTGGCTGGCAATTGGCCTCACTGAAGGGCCACACTCTCATCTTTGTTGCTTGCCCGTGCAATGGCAGAGGGCTACGTGATTTAAAGAATCAGCTAGATACAGTGAGACATCATTTACTATCATGCTATCAAAATACCAGCTCGAAACGCACTGGCCATAATTCATCAGCTAGTCAAGTTCACAAAAAGCCTGCTGCAAGAGAACAGACACACTATATCACTGCATTGATGGAAAGCCTTGACTGATAAGTCTGGTCAAATAGATAGCAAGACATCAAGCAATTATTCACAAGTCAAGTCATTGATCAGGATGAGTCAAAAAAGCAAAAAAAAGGTTCAATCCTCATGTCACCTTTAATGAACTATAAGAAGATAGTAAGCATAAAATTAAGTGAAGGCTCTGCTAACTTTGTAAGATTTTAACCCCTTCAAGTTCCATATTTTCTGCAGAATCTATGTCTTGTGAAAACCAATCAAACCTATGTACAAAAGTTTAAGAACAAGAAAGATGTTTCGATGTTGAAGTGTTCTTTGGACTAAAATCAACAGATTCAATTATAAGATTTTTTAGATTGTATTCACTGAGATAAGCAAGAACACTTCACATTGAAAAGTGCTGTTTCCAAAGTCATTAGGAAAAATGACTAACTTTTTATACTCAGTTCACATATGTCTTCACAGAATCTGGACAGGAAAATCTGAAGTAAATAGATACAGCTCCAACTGAAATACAATCTACAAAGCATCAGATCTGGAATTGAATTTTTACAACTATAAAATTGAATTTCTTGTAATTACAAAGTACATAAAGAATTGACTGTAAGCCTAATCAGTTCCATCTGAACCATAAGTTCAAGACAGTTCACCAGGAGGTTTACTTTAAAAAATAGCAAGATCTCAAATTGAATTATTTTGGTTTTCTGTGCATTTTTCCCCCCTTCATGTCAGATATTATGGATTAACCTTTCAGCAGAAAGGTCCAAGCAGTGTCCCTGGCAACCCTTCCTTTTATGAAAAGCTTTAAATCAAGCTTCTTGTAAAAGTCAACTCCCAATGAAACAAAATTAATAAAATTCTTTCTGCTAACTTCAAATGGGCCATTTCATCATCATGGTGAAGACCACAAACCTAAATAACTACCTACTTGAATACAAAAAGGTGCTGACTCCTAACTCGCAGGCACACTTCGACTTTCCAGGAAACACTGGTGTGCTAATTTTGTCATTCTGTCTTTATAGATGAATCTAGAGAGTGTCTGTGGGCAGGATTCCAGCTGGGAACAAGAGAAAAACTGTCCACCAGCAGCATTTGTGCTTATGATTAAGAGAATATGCATCAGACTTTCTAAGTCTGGATTAGTTTTCAAAACAAAAAAACCTCTGCAGATAACCTGACAGAAAATCTTTGATTTATCTGAATCCATCAGTAATACTTTTATCAGGTGGAATAAATACAAGTTAAAAGCCTCTTTTAGCTTGGATCAGTATCTACACAAAGAATAAAATAATTTCAACCTCAAATAAAAATGGAAAGGTAAAGTTTCAATTGTATCTTCCTGACATTACCCCACCTATAAACATATCTTCCTTTCCGTTATCCACCTACTAACACATATTCTTTTTTACAGAGGCAAAAATTATCCCCCAAGACATTTCCCCTCAGGTTTTTAAAGCCAACTTTATCAACACTAATAAATTGACAGTTGACACTGCACCCTCTACAGTGTGCCCCTCATGGACCAACAGCTTTTCAAGCTTGATATGTTTTCCAAGTCTGGAATAAAGCAAACCATATTAAATTTTCACAGTTGTTCCCCTAGCACAAAGCTCACACTTTAGTGCTACTACAAATGTCACAAAAAAATACAAGTGTCCTCCCCTTGTCCTGCACAGGAAACTAAATTATTACTATAGTAAACTAGCAGTCTCGCTGGCCTCCACTGTCATTTTGCCTAGTTGAGGCAACAAATAAGCAGGTGTTTCAGTTAAAGCTTCAAGAGGGTCATGCTTAAACTACAGCAAAAGCACTTCCTCTCTATGGATGTGTCCTCATACAGGAGCAGAGTAGACACCCACTTGCCCAACACTTGCCCAAGTCAAATCGACACATTTTGCCAGTTAGGGTTAACGTCTTCTTGAAATACCACAGTGAAAATACCCTTTTGCAAGTACAGGCTCATGTCTTTTGTGCTGTCTCATTAACAGATGCTGTTTTTAAGATGTAGAGAATGGCCATTATTCACATCTCCATTGATATGTAAATGCTACAAACTGCAACATGACTGCAATCAACATTGCTGCATAAATTCCCTCCAACAGTGAGAAATTAGGGAACTATATAATATGCCTTATATAAATGCATCTTCATGCTTACACAATATAAAAAATATTACATTATTTCAGCCATTTCTAATAAGAGGAAAAGAACAAGAAAGATGTTTCGATGTTGAAGTGTTCTTTGGACTAAAATCAACAGATTCAGTTATAAGATTTTTTAGATTATATTCACTGAGATAAGCAAGAACAGTTCACATTGAAAAGTGCTGTTTCCTAAGTCATTAGGAAAAATGACTAACTTTTTATACTCAGTTCACATATGTCTTCACAAAATCTGGACAGAAATTCTTCCTTTCTAATAAGAGAAATGGCTGAAGGTCAATATTTGTTTTTAATTTTCCTGAATTTATTATCACAATCATAACAATAAAAAGACTAAAAGAGACTAATAAAGCAGTAGTCTTAATAAAGCAGGAAAAAATCCTGCATTCCACCTTCTCAGTCATCACTTTAATGTGAAAATCCTCCTATTGTCATCTTATTTCATATAGTCTTTTCCCCTCCCAAATAAACACTACAAGAGCTACTTTAACACAACAGACCCCTCGGACTTTGAGCAGTGACCCGACCCCTATTGGCATATACAGTGCTGAGCCTCTGCATAGGACCCAACACTAAGCAGCAAAGTTATTTTGCCCAAGCTGCTTGCACAACATCAGCAACCCGTTATTATCCTTTTCCATTAGCAACCATGAAATTGCTACTCTGCACCCTCAGCCACAAAGGCAACAATAACCAGCTCATTGCGCTCTTTCCCAAATGTTTTTCATAATTGCTCCGGCACACTGATCTGTCAATAACACTTGTAAGCCTGCCTTTTATCACCCTTCCTCCTCTGCAAAAATTCAAGGAGATGCAAGGAACAAAATACTTGGAAATTATAGGTGAGAACAAACGTATTTAGAAGAGCTGTGCTTTTTTGAAGCAGCAAGCCAAATTTAAAGCACGCACATACTCTAGTTAAAGCAGCAGATAGAAAACATCCCTCCAAGTCACTTTACTCATTACATTGAATGAGTTCTCCTGCTGCCTTGTTTACATGTTTGTTGCTTTCACTGACTCAAGGTAACCTTTTCAAGACAGCAGATACCACGTTTGCATGAAAGAAGCCTAAAGAAATACCCTAACTTATCACTGCCACTGTTGAAGACTCCACATTCACTCAAAAATCAGGAAAAGTTTATGCGATTAAAAACTTACTCGACATTCCCTGCAGCTCTTGGTTAAAACTCGTTGACCTTCTGCTAGCACTTTGCCTCCATAGATACACTTTGCTGCAATTTGGGAGCATGAGGGGGAGGAAGGGATGGGGGGGAGAAGAGATTAAAAAAAAAATCAGCATTTAGGTAGCAAGCAAATGCAAACGACAGCAGAGTCAAACATGCACTGGGAAATACAGACATAGCATTAAAAATACAACACAGTCATTTGCATCTAGCCACTGGAAGTCAGTATTATATATAATTAAAAATAAACCCATTAACAATAAATTCATTTTAAGAGCAAGGGGCTCATTTACACAAAGTAAAAAACAGGAATAGCACACTAGACAATTGATACTGGACCAAATTAATTAGTATTCATTAGAAAATATTTTCATTACTGAGATTCTGTTAGATTAGCTACAATATTTGCATTTCCAGAAGGCTTCATGCTACACTTCAAGAACGCAAGACATTTATTAGTGTGCTGCTCATCAAGAGAGCAATATAAGCACAGATTTCAATTAAACTCTCAGATTTTATGTGGGCACAAAGGTGGACTCTTCAACTTGCTGGAGCACTGCAAAAAATTGACTAGATGTAGCAAATCACTAATAAACCAATGAACTGAAGAAATGTATTTCTGAAAAAACATTCTTAATACACGCATCAGACAAGGCACATTTCACAGCAAACAGAAAAGTCCTACGACATGGAAGCTATTGTCAAAAGCCCCTTGCTGCCAAAGCCCATGGAAAAACTTCTCCCCCAAATTAGACTGCTCAAGACAACCACCTGCACAGCAGAGCCAGACTAGGAGATGCAAGCACTCTGCAACCAATACTAGGCAAACTCAAACAGTTTAGTTTAGCATTACTGCCACCTTAAGCAAGGTAACATCCCGCCATGCCCTAGTAGCAAACAGCAAGGATAAACATTACCACAACCATCCGCGACCTCTTGGAAGTAAACACCTAAAATTCACTCCCTTTTCTAGAGCAAAGGCAAAAGACTTTCAAAAGAACTTTCACTATCAACAGCACTTTTGAAAACTAGGCTTCTTCCTTTCAGTATCCTAGTTTTCTTGCCTTTTTTCCTCTCTAAAGCTGCCCTAGTTTATATGTCAGAGCTGTTGTCATCTCACTTATGAGAAACACTTTAGATCGGAAGCTATGTTTAAATTAGAAAGCCAAGCAACTATTTTCGGGGGAAAAGATGAATCTGGGCAATTTCCTTTTTCTTTCTCTCTATTCTCCCGAGACGAACACTTTTAACAAAAACACGAACGCCCAAAAAGGCAAGGAAAGACAACTCAAGAGAACAATGAAATTTTAAATAGAATTACAGTCTTTTGACAAATATTAGCTGGAGCAGCTAACGCAAGATGGCAGTGATCAAAATAGACCCGCCTCATTTTTAAAGCCTTTTGCATTTCAGATGTTAGAACCACTTTGTTCATTAGTGCACAGCTAAGACAGGAAACTCTTTAATAATCCAGGCTTTCAATAATCCCTGGAGACAGCAAATTACAACCAATGATCCTATTTGGAGCTTAACAGGAAAAGCATAGAGGAGTTAACAGCTGCAGTGTGGAGCTTTGGAAAGCCCCAGCAGTCACTGCCGCACACCCGACGGCAACCGCCTGTGGTCCTCACGTGTCACCGCCAAGCAGCCAGCGTCTACAGCCAACTCCAATCAACTTCCATAGAGTCCTTGCTACGGACAGACACACCAAGTCCTTCTCAGGGTACTGAGTCAGGGTTGTGCCAAGCACTGACAAAAAGCAATTTTTTTTTTTTTTTTGTAATGGAAAGATCAGAAACACGATTTAGTTTACTCATGGTGATACAGGTTGAATTTACAATTTGGCACCTTGTGATTCCTCAGTATCAAATTCCAATTTGTGTGCTTGCGCACACATTAGTGAAGGCAGTAAAGAGATGCTCCCAACCACATCTTCAGGAAGCTTTCCATACTCTGTACATATTAGAAATAAAAGTATTTTGAGACTGAAGAAAAAGCACCATTTTATCACTTAAATACTGTTCTTAGACCTCTTTTGGCAAGCAGAACATTCACATCAACACGCAGCTGTGACAAATGAGATGGCACAAGCCAACAGCAGCAAGCGAAAGATCACAGCTAGGGGAAATTTGTGCATGTGACTAATATATTCAGTGACTGAAGGAAGGTGACAGAATGGTAAAAAGACGTTGCTTTTTCCCCTAATTAGTCTTAAAATAACTCAAAAACTGCCTTGCAAATTACAGAAAATCACACCTGAAGTCTACTGGTCTCCAAGAAGGATAATTTTTGCTTAATAAAATGTACCTCATTCTTCAACAACAGGACCAACTACCACTTTTTTCATAAAGCAGTAGAAAAAAAGGGAGAAGACTGAACATAAACTATCACTCCACACAGTGATATTAACCCAACATCTAAAATTGTTATGTTCTTCTTCAAGAAGTCTTCCAAACTGAAATAAAAGAAAGGCAAAAAGGCAACAGCACCTCAACTTATTATCCATCACTATGGAAAGCTGAGGCTGAAGACTTCATGCTCTTCAACATCAACAGGAAATAAAAGCCAAAGTTAGATTAGCTTTTTCTCCACAAAAAAGTGGAAAAATAATTTCATACTGACACTATGTAGCAAGAGATTCTTAGAAGTCTTCAAAAGTTCATTTTGTGTATTTACCAACAAATTATTTTCTTCTTAATTCAAGTTTCCCACTGCCACTCATATTTCCTCATTAGCAGAACCTATGAGCCCTTATAAGATGTTCTCAGGACAGGTTTAACATCACCTAAAGGAAGTGTAGATGGAAGAGGTGCATGGAATGTCCTTACCCTTGCACACTTTACAGCACTGGCTTTCCACGTGCACGGGGAGAGCATCAGGAGGACATTCGAGAGGGGGACAGGCCATCCTTCGGCACTCCACAATGCCACTCTAAATTAAGGTTATTGAGACAAAATCCAACTATGACTTGTTGTAATTACCAAGTGTTTTACCCAAAGCATACATATAAAGCAGAAAACTCATTAAATATCTTCACACAGCATTGAGGATTACACTTTCAATAAAAAGTTTGATCTTGATTACCAATCTGCGTCTAATGGCATCTGAAGGACAATCACCTGATTCTGATAAACATTACTGGTTGTACCCCATTTGCCTACAGTAGAAAAGCAGACTAAGTAGAACACATAAACCCATCTTTACAAGAATGTAAGCACCACTTTTTATAGGCTCTGCCAATCACTTTGAAGATTTTTAACAATCCGTTTTCTATTTTCTTGAGCAAATAAAGAGTCTCTTCAGATATTTATCAAGTAATTTCAACAAGGAAAAATTTACATTATAATTCTCTTCCATACCTTGGGTTTTCAAGGCAATAAATGCTGAAAACAGAATCTGCATGTTGTTACCATGCAAGATGCAACTAAGGATCTATGAATACTATTAAGATTATGAATACTATTAAGATAATTTTTTTTTTAAAGTACTACTGCAGTGAAAACATTTCTGGACCAATCACTATAATTTCACCCCAAAAGAGTGAAGCCCTCATGGATATAATCAGGACAAATAAGAATTGTCAAGGGAAAGCAGATTTTATTTAAATAAAACCTGATATTTCTTATGTGCAGACTTTATAAAGAAAAAAAAAGAAAGAATTCCCTCCCTATTGTTCATGCTACTACTAGGTGCATGCTAAAAAATAATTCTTCTCAGAGTAAGCATTATGTATTCAAGCTCCATTTTCACATTTTAATTAGGCCCTAGTCCTTAAACCCTGCAGGAATTCTTACTTTGCATGTGCAATTCCTGCAGTGATCATCTTCCACCCATGAGTCTTTGTCTCTATAGATCACTCCATTTGCTTGACAAGTCTTCTCACAATGACAGTCTTCCAGTTGACTCAGTCTTGTTTCTGCATAATTTAACTATAAATGAAAGTAATGTGATGAGACTTGTACAATTGATACACATGCGATTTTAACAAAGCAAAGAGAAAGCAGCATACTTTTCTTTTAACTAGGGCAAGTTTGATGCTAAATTTTGAAACACTGAGCCAGGATGCCAGCAGGTATAAACTAACCCTACTCCACCAACAACTGTCCACTATCATGACAACAGGCCATAAGGCATAAAGACAAACTGACCTCTACTAGCCATCCCCATCTCCTCCTTGTCAAGCCTAAGCCAGAGCACTGCTTTCTGGCTTTTTAGGAAAACCTTAGCCTTAATAAGAGCAAAAATGATTCACAGGTGAAAAAAGGATTTTTAAACCATGTTGTACAGATACTTCCAGATGGTGATTAATGCAGAAGAGGTGTCCCATGGTGACCAGTTCTCTACAGTCCTTGCTATTCTCATTACCTTCTCATTTCCAGCTACTAAAAGACATAAAGAAGCTACAACTAATAATTTTTTTCCTAGTACTACCTACTGCTGAGATATTGCAGATCTACAAATGGTACCAGTGATGATTCACCTAAGGACAAAAAGGGACGGTGGCCCTCTAGGCAACAAACAGGAAGGAGAACTTGCACCATTTGCTGTATGGAGAGAACCCATTCCTCACCACTTCTTCATCCACCTGACCTATCCCCAAGGCTTCTCCAAGTGCCACTTCCTAAGACCTCTCCTTCATACATGGCATCCTCTTAAGAGTCCTCCAGAAAGGAGTAACTCCCATTGGAACACACCTTGTACACCCAGTGCCACCTCTAACCCTGCAGAGGACACTAAGCATCCTCTTTAAATTTACCAAAATGTGCATTCTTTAGCCCTCAGAACTGCCATCACTCTGAAATTACTTTGAAGTTCCTCAAATCAGGGCCTTGATTTGTTTATATTCATTTGTTCAAAGTGCATAAGCTATCACAGTGAAGCCATTGTAGATAGAGAGGCTATTAGAATCTGGCACAATATAAAATGAATGCCTACTCTATTCTCAACACCAAACTATTATTCCACAGTATAGACGGATATATTTTAATAGCAGCACATTTTATAAAGATAAATGCAGACCTACAGTCTGTTTTTTACATAATAACATAAACCCAAGTTTTACACATTTCAATCCTCTAAAATTCCATCCACTTAAAGTGAAATTATTTTAACATATCCATTTTTGCTTCCTGACAGAGCAACATCCTTGGGGTAGACTTTAAAACTCCTTTTCATATTTCTGAGGCAAAGCTCATCCTCTGAGCTGCCTGATTTCTGCAAAAATTCTCACTATGTTTTCAGTGTATAAAATGTATTCACTTTTGATAAAAGGACATGATTTGTCTTATATTTGTACTTTATTTACATGTTTGGGTCATGTATTTACATGTTTGGATCATTTTTAATTCAAAAACAAACCTTCCTATTCAAGGACACTACAAAAACTTAAGACAAAGGATATTAGAAACATCCAGTTTTGATATGGCACATAGTATTGCCCCTTTTTCTGTCCTAATACTTGCCACAGAAAACGCTGTGAGAATAAAAATCCTTTCACCTTTTGCTACTGTTTGCAGTGTCTTCCTGATATTTAAATAATTTCCATAAAACATATCTCCTGTTCCAAGAAATATCTTAAATAGAGTGGATCAATTATCAAAATACAGATGTCTTCACTAGAAGGACATGCAACAAGGAACCCTGCAATACTCATGGGTCAACCAATGCAACACAGTCCACAGAATCTGTTCAGAAAGAACATTTAACGCATTCGCTGTGCTCTAGCAACCAGGCACATACCATCTGCATGTAAACTAATGAAGGAGGAAATTCACACCATATTCAACATTCTCCATATCCTAACCTAATTGGATAACTCAAGTACTTTTCTGTTTTTTAATCCAACTCAAGCTTCAGCCTTTTTGACCCAAAACAAGAAAAGACTTTAGCAGCTCTATCCAGCACGAGCATGGGCTTCAGTGAAAAGTACACACCACTCCAATGCAGGAGATCGCAGACTGGTTTCAGGAGACTGTTACCTGTTGCATGAATCATTTTATCCACTATACTTGAAAAGCAACCAACAATATTCCAACGTGCTGGCTGTGAATGCTGAACTACATCATGATCCTTTTGTGCTGCAGTAAATTAGTATTTTAGCTGGTTTTCTAACAATCTGATCTGCCTCCATCTAGGAACACGAGATTAAATCAATGAAACAGATTCACTGGCATCAAGCCACTAGGCAATGCTTCTCCAAAACACCACATTGGCACTTGGCATCTCTTGGTAGAGGGCCAGGAGCTGGGGTCATTGCTCATGCACATTTGTAAAGCCTTCCTTGACCACCTGCCCTGACCAAAGTCACCTCCCTAGGCAGTTGTAGAGCCCTTCAAAGCCAGCTTTTCACCTCACCAGGGTCATCCTTAGCATACACTTAGATCTCCCCTTGGATTGCCTGGTGCTATTTATCGCCCCCAACAAAAATGGTATAAACCTTAAAACCTATCTCAACTCCCTCCACTTTGAACATGTATTTATCCAGTAGTTTAGTTCTCGTGCCTGCTACATGCATTTCTCTCAGGCAATGGTGTTTCCATAACCAATGCCATGAAAAGACTCCATGAATTTCTGTAAGGGCAAAGTACCTCCTAACAAAAGGTTATCCCAGAACCACTTTACGGAAGCACGGAGCCTCTGGAGCACAAACACTGTGTTATTCACTTCTCCACTAAAGTACTAGTGAGGAAAAATATAATTAACGGCAGAGGAAGAAAGTTACTCTGGCCCTGCATAATTGGAGCATACCCAGACCACCAGCAGGGCTCAGAATAATTGCCTCCGCTTCCCAGCACAAGCTGCAAACTGAACTAAAAGCCTCTCATTTCTCATTCTGAGTCAGCCTGTCCAGAGCACGTCAGCTGAGTAAGCAAGTGCCAGGATAATGCACCCTCATAAAATTATTTTCTTTCCTTTCCTATTAGCAAAGGGGAAAAACAACTTAAAGGCAGCATAGTAATAAGTATCACAAATATAATGCGGGTTACACTAGTAACACTACAGTGCAAGTCTTATTTGCAGCTACATGTTAGATTTTTTGGGATTTTTTTTTTTTTGTGCGAAAAGGTGGTGTTGAGATGAGCACATCCAACAGCTTCACAGGCATTTCTGTGATCCTCTCCCTGTTTTGGGGCTCATGTAATTCTCCCCTCCATCTTTTGTCCCCATGTTACATGGAGTAAATCAGAGAACAGAAGTACTATGAGGCTTAAGTGACTCCCATACAACTATCTCTAGCTCTGTTGAAAGCAATAGAGCTACTGGCAAAAGGAAGAGGGGAAATAAGGAAAAAAAAGTTTGTCATGAAAATGTAAAATACTTGCAAAAGAATTACTTCTATATCGTTCTCAAAGAAAGAAATGGGGAATTGACAAAGAAGCTTTGGTACCTACTTTTGCAGTCATTTTGGCCAGGAGTTCTTGCAAATCCATGATTCCTTGCACCAGACTTAAGAAATCACTGCAGGTTGGGCATGCTCAAGAAAAGAAGTTGGAAAAGGAAAAAGAAGGAGGAAAGACAATAACCCATAAATAAATCAAATTTGATATTCTGTTGATAAGTCATTTGCTGATTTGAACATTAAATGCAATTTTATTCAGATTTTTGCTTTCTGGCAGCTACCATATAAAAATGACAAGCTGAAAACATTATTAAAATAATGAAATAACTCATAAAAAATCTAAAAATGCTAGAGGAAATAAGTTGCTACTTACTGCGATTGAGATTAGGACACTGTGTTATATATCCATTAGGTATAAAGATGATTTTCACATCTTGAATAACACCCTTTGTAAAAGAAGAGATAACTGGTAATACAGATTACAATCACACACTTGGATCTGAACAGCTTCCCCCCTGCTCCCACAGACACACACACAAAAAAAAGTGAGATTGAGAGGTACAAACTGACCAGATCACTACATTATTCCTGCCCATCTTCCTGGATGTTCTCATGTTAATTTTCATTAAGCAGACACATTTAATGGTGTTTTGCCTTCTGCAATCACTAAGTATAAGCTGCTTAAGCATCTCAAAACAGCAAGACAACAGAGAAAACCAATAAAATAATATCAGTTATCAATCCTATGAGATGTCACAAGTAGAAGGCTGTGAAATCAGATATTACATGGATAGAGTGCAGAAGTCAGTTTACACTTTGGCTGTTTCTTGCAAATACAGTAACATTTAACATTTATGTGTTGCTTTTCTGAAGCAGCAGAAGGCAATCAGCGAGCACTGTTTCCTGCTTACAGCTTCATGATCAAACACTAACTGAAAACATTAATAGACATAATCAGATCACACTGTCTCTCTTGCAGAGCTGTACACATTTATTAACCTTTTAATCCAAGAAAATAATGAAACCATCATAATAACGAGAAGTAATGCTATCACTAGACAAGGACATCCAGGAAGGTACTTTATACACCTCTTGCCAGCAGTCAGTGAGAAATAATAAGCTGAAGTGCAAAAAAAACTATACTGTAATGGTTAGGTCTCTCCAGTAAAAAGCTTAACTATGAATAAGATTAAGTTTCACATCACACAGCTAATAAGAAACCATACAGAGAAAAGATAAGATGCTTTCAGGAACATTAAAAAGAGAAGGAAAAGGAGGAAGAAACACGTTCAGTCTTAAATACATGTTCAAGCTCTTCACTGAACATAAAGAAAAAAGGATTTTCCATTCCACAAAAAAGTTATGATATCCATTGCAGGCTTTAGGGACCCCAGCACCACGAACAACTTGAAGAAACAACTGTTTCATTTTATAACTTCTGTCTACAACAAAGCATGTGAGCACAGGAAAAGGGATTAGCTTCCGTTCACCAGTGGGAACATATAGATGCTCTCTATATCTCCTCTGATACAGAGAGAACCAATATTATCAAATACAGAAATGATTCTTCAACTTTAAAGAGCACAGACTTTGCTGGGTTTTCTTTTTGTTTGTTTAATTTTTGGCAGAGACTTTATTATAGGCCAACACTTATTACTATAATAAATATTAGCCATAAGGGAAATACCAAGGTATTTCCTACCATACAATCCCCGGGCCCAGCAGCAGAATCAATAGGGCCCATTAGAGCAGATAGAAAAATTACCATATGTTGACAGCAGCTGCCTATACAGCAGCATTTTCTGATGTGGCATTGCCAGGATGCAGTAGGGTTACTTGGGACATAATCCTGATAAATAGAGATTTGGGAACATGATCCTTTCCCCTTATTCTTCTGATACCCTGAAGCAGCACTATATGAACCAGCAGATACCGGTACGAGACTGTGGCCCACGATGCTGCAAATGCTCTTTTATGGAGTGGCAAGAGACACACAACAGTTATTTGACTATCACAAAATAAGAATATATTTGGAATAGTCAAGATAATGGTCAGAACTGTACCCAATGCTTTTTGATGCTTGTATTGCCATGGCTCCAACACAGAGATGCTAATTCTTTTTTTCCCCACTTATTTCCCTGCAGATCCCTGTTTACACTTAGGAAAATAAGTCTATTTTCCGATATGCCAAAACAGTGAAACAAATTGCTCTCAAAAAGAAAGGGAGGCCCTGCTGAGCATATAAATATATGGGAAGAGATGTGAACTCTTTATAACTGGCAAAAGTCCAAACTTTTGCAATGAGTAACAAAATAAAGTAAGATTTCTGAAACTCTGAAGCAGAATTAAAAAAAATACAACCAATTATATCTTTATTCCCTCCCTGAAGAAAGTTAGTAAAATATTCAAGCATGCATAAAGCCAAGGCACTTGTCGACTTTCATTACAAGCAATAAAAATTGTCAGCTCATTAGCATATCATTAGCCACCCTGCTGTTTCCAAAGTGTTAATGCATAGAAATATTAATTTATAAACATTTAATATTCCAAAGTTCTGCACATTTGGTTGCATAATATAAGAATTTGGGAAGGGTGAACCCAGTATAACTTATCCTTTTTCCATGTAGGCATAAACATATGTTTACCATCTGTGGAATTATGGGATGCAGCTAAGGTAAAAAAACAACAGCTGCAGAATAAAATAATGCCATCAATCCCACTTGGCAGGGACAGCTTGGCTGCTGGAAGATGAAACCAACTCCAGGTTTAGAGCAACTCTTGGACCACCATTTAAATTAAAAGTTGTTTTTTCGCCTCTGTTTCACAGTTGTTGGAGTTGCTATAGTAATTTTACCTTAAATAACTTAGCACAAAACAATCCTCCTTGCTTGCTGAAATTGAAGGATTTGGAGAGGTCCTCAAAAATAAGCAACTTCAAAATCATCTTGCGAAGAGACTGCTTCGAAGGGAAAGCAAGTGGGTGGTAAATCACCTTGACAACAAGGTCATGTCAATATTGAGGATACCCGGATTAACGTATCACCAAACAACGAGCTTTTATTCATCGATGTGGATAAACTCGGATCACGCACACCGCACCGGGGAAAATATATAAAAGAAAAGTACTCCCAGGAACCCCAAACACTCAACGCTGCAGTCAATGGCTACAACATTCTGCCTGGCAGAAAAAGACCCCTTTCATCAAGTATTGAAGCTGACCCACAACATGAGCCCCAAATTTCCACCAAATTCATAAAAATAAGATTTGGAGTATGTCAGATGACAAATCAGAGCTAGTGCATTTCCTTCACACGCTCTTTAACATCTGCTTACCTTAAAGAAACCATGTTTCCTATTCCTCTGTCCAAGCCATAAATTGCTTTCAGGTGTCAAATTCGTTTCTGGGGGATCAATAACACGTTCATAAATCCTGTAGAGGGAATACATTACCATATTCCAATCAGTCAGAGAAACTACACCTTGAGATATTCACAATTTTTAGAGTTTTGAGTAGACTGATCTTTAGGAATTACAAAAATACACAAAGAATCACAGAAAAACGGTAATATCAGATACATCAACAAGTTCCACGTACTGCCTAAACTTGCACAAAAATGCAGTAATCAGTCCCAAATCTCTAAAATTAATCCATAATAAATTTGTGACATGTCATTTTTCATTTCCAAAAATAGGCTGGAGTCCTAAAAAGTTGCTGGTTTTATTATTATTTGCTTGCTTTTAGGACAGCAGTAACACCTCAGCAACTCAGACTACTACAGTGATGATACCATCATTTTATGGTATGAAAATCAAGGCCAGATTATCTGTAGACCCTCAACACTCCAATTCCCATCTCACATAGGTGGGAGCCATAAACTTACTGTTTCAAAACAAAACTAGTATTTTAATAAGGATTCTTGAAAACACGATCAAAGGCATTTCCCATTACTGTCCAGCTCACAGGGAGTGCAGATTGCTCTGTAGTAACACCAGCATGACAGCCCATAGAAAATCCTTTGAACATATCATCCATAAGCTTAAAGGGTAAACACTTTTTCTTCTTCCATCCCATATTATCACTGCAGCTATTGCTTTAAAATGGACATAAAAATGAACACAAAAATGAACAAGAAACAAGTCAATCAACAGCTCAGTACACTTCTCCCCCTGCTTGCACTCTAATCACTAACTCAGGCTCACTTAATGTAATAATCTTCTTTTTGTGTGTTGCAAGTTGCCATGTTATTGGGAAATTCATACATTTTCAAAGACCTAAAGAGATTCCTCAGTATAACAAAACTTTAGAAAGGTTCTATAAAGGAGCTTTATAAAGAAGTCATAATTCTACCCACACTTGCTTATCCAGAAAAGGAAGAAACCATTTGTAAGGCAAACTGGAAGCAGACTGAAAAGCTGTAGGCACATTTGCCGTTTCCTTAAACGGACACAATAAAAACATCCCCAGCCTAAGAACAAAATAATTACATTATAATTGCATCTTAAGAACAAGGAGTCAGAAGAGATCTCAAAACCACCACAATTTTATTGTGGTTATCATCAGCCTTAATTCATCACGTCAACATGACGTTCAAGACTCTCAGAAATTTTTGCCTCAGTAGCTCAAAGTATACATATTGCTATCTAAAAAATTACCATACTGAGCTATTTGAGCTGTTCAGACATAGCAAGATGGTATTCTTTCAAACCCTACTTTGAGGATCACAAGAATTTGGCATACACCATCTCTATCAATATTTCAAAGAGTAAGCAGCCGCATTCAGCTATGCCACATGCAAAATTAAAGATCTACTTGAACACAAGCCTGCTGTAAAATGCTGAACAAGGAACAAAATAACTGACGTGTTCCTCAGGAAAGACAATCAGTGTCACACAGTCACCATCTGAATTTCTCTTTGAATAGAAAGAGCATCTTTATTCATGGCTTTGGTTAATAATGTCCTCACTGAAAAGTGTCTAATTTTTTAAAGGGACGAGTTGATATTCCATGAAGATCTGGTTTCAAGATTCTGCTAACAGATAAACCCCAATGCTCAAAATAAAGCAATACAAGACGTTCAACTACTCACTCAAAACCATTCCTTTTTTTCTTTTTGTTTTTATTTCCCTAGTAACGGGTTATAAAGGAATATTATTATATAAAGCAATTTTTTTCAGAATAAAGTGTACAAACTGACATGTGTTATATGACAGCTCAATAACAGCAAGGAAGACGAATTACAGGCAGGTTGCAGTGATTTATCTTGCTTAGAGTTTAGCAAAAACTCAACCTATGCAGAGAAAGTCTTCAATGACTTTTCTGACAGGTCTCAGCAGAAGTTTCCATCCACACTATCCCTACCCAAGATGCTCCAATATTCCTACCCTGGTCTGTTCCAATTGGATTTCTGGAGCAGGTACCTATCTTCTCCTGATCTGAGAAGAAGAGATTAAATACAGACTGTTTTGTGCCTTAATCCATATGCATTTAAGAGATTGGTAGGGATTTTTCCTCCCTGAATCTACCCAGGTATATGATTAATTCAAAGACACTGGATGCAAATCTTGATTTGCTTAATTTTATTATGTAAAAATGGGGTTTGCATTCTATTTGTTCCATGGACAATATGAACATTGCTGATGACAAACCCTACAGCAGTAGGAAAATGGGTTTCGTTCTGGCAACTGGAATGCCCTTGCACACACACCTCTGAGTTTGAGTGACCTCCAGAGCTTTTCTGCACTCAGACAAACCTTAAAAACATGAATACTTGTAGCGTATTTCAAAATGTTACTGCATAAAAAGTGAAAGCCCTTACTTGTTAATTGTGAAAACCCTCACTCTGCTCCCCTCTCCTGTATTGATTTTCTTGAAGAGAGTTTTTCAGGCTGAAAAACTGCAACTGTTGAATAGTCACAAAAGGACCCTTCTTTTTTTACAGCTACATTAAGCTTCCACTTCATTCTCATTTTCTCACTTGATTTTCAGGGCTGAGGTGTGTCGCTTTCCACAGCTATATCCGTGCTGGACCGATACTTTGGATGTGGCACATGAAAAGCTATATTATATCTATCCCACTCCCAGTTTATGGAGTACTGGCCTAGAGTTCCTTGGAGAATCATTTCCAACGTACGTGGCTTTGATACGCGCGCCGAGAAATGTGCAGTGCGTTTCACAAGAGCCTCTAAAACCACTGCAGACCAGAGAGCCCCCCAGCATGAGGGAACCCAGGTCTCAAGGCTAATGGAAACACTATTCCATGCTTCAGACTTTCAGGTTTATGACTACTGCATTTGCTTTCCAAGAGAGCTTGATTCACCCCTTCTTTATGCTGACATCCTTCAATGGAGCTAAAGTATAAACCTAACTATGAACTGATTCTCCTTTCTTGAAAGGCTCATGCTTAGAACACACTCACTAATCACTGATCCATTAAGCTAAATGGAATTTAAAAAGCGCCTGCCAATCAACACAGACACATAATATACTTGTATCTATAGATCTGCCCTCTCAGGGCTTCAATTGACAGTATTTTTCTGCAATCCTCAGAACAGCTTTTCTGAGGAAGCAATCCAAATGGACAAGCATGACACAAGGGACAAATCACATTTTTATAACCTTGATATCATCCAAAAATGTTATTCTCATTTCACATGTACAAGCTGAAATCCAGAAAGACTAACTGATCCAAGATCATAAAAACTGAGTCAAAAAGAAACTTTCCCCAAAATTTAAGCCATTAGGTTGTCCTCACACCCTGGACCACATTTCCTCTGGAGCAAGTACGAGACAGCATTTTCTTTTTGCAATAAACTATGTCTTGCATGCAACTTTAACCAAAGCTAACACTCTAAAAGAGGCTTTTTTCTTTTTTTTTTCTTCCCCTGAGACAAAGCTCTTCTTTATCCACATATTTGCCATGCTAAAATCAGTTTGGAAATAACTTAAATATTTAGTAGAACAAGAAAACAAACTTAGTCCCCTTTTGCATTAGAATCCGTAAACCAGCATGGACTGAACAGGAGATGTGACCAACAATTTTTGAAAAATAGGACACACTACAATTCCTTCAGTTATTACAAAACAGCACGCCAAATCATGACATTTAGGGTCTAAAATAGGGAGTAACTTACTAAGAACAGAATGCTGCCTCCTAAGATTTTAAGGCTAGATATAAACGAGAAAGATTTCTTTTTTGTAGCTAAACCACAGCTGCAACCTAAATACTGCTGTGGCTGATACATGGCAATACTCCTGTTTCTCAGGCCTTGGTCTCCACCAACTCAGGAATGGGTTATGGGTTTATGTGTTCTTGATTTAGCTGTTAGGTTTACTCTCGCAAAGCTATAAATTTCTGTGGAAAAGTCAGGCGTGGATTTCATCACCCCCCATTTTTGATCCCTTAAATGTATGAACCTACAGTGGAGCTAGTCATCTAGATTCACTTCAGTTGTTGAAAAGAGAAGTGTTTTCAGGTTGTGATTCATCTTACCATAAATGAATCACTCCCTGAAGACACCTCCAGAGACTGCACAGGAGCACTCTGATAGCAGCATGACTCATCAAAATAGGTTTTTGCAATTCAAAACCCAATTCTCAAAATTGACATTCCCCTGCAAATATCCCTCATCTTAAATGCATCCATATGTATCCTACAAACCTTTAAATAAACCAGAAGGCACTGCGAATGTCACATGCCGTAGCGCATCACTAATGACAGTAACTTTGAAAGAAAAGTCGGTAAAAACATGAGGAAAGGGACTAAGAACCAATTTTGAAAAGGAATAATAGGGTATAGAATATCTCCACATACTTGTCTTACAGCCCCCTGCCTGTGTGCTTCCCAAGGAAAGTGTCAATACTACCATGATAGTTTTGTTCTGTTTTTAATGGTCTTCACAGATAGGATGCATTATTTGAACGTGCATTCAGTTCTGGAGCAGCTAACTGAATTTCCACTTTCAATGCCTTCAACGGTCTGTTTCAGAAAAATAATCTTCCTGGGGAAATTTTGATTTTTCATGCTCTCTTCTGTCACAGTAGAGGAGCTGACAACCATTTAAGAGAAAAGCAATTTAGATAAAAGTTTCAGGTTTTGAAGGAAGCCTTTTATTATTAAGTTGTCAAGGTAAAATAGTAACTACCAACTATTTAATCAAAGTTATTGTCCCAGCTCAGGGAGAAGAAGAAATAGGTGCCCAGTAATACTGCATGTTAGTACATGCTCAAGTTTGAGGTTCCTTTTAGACTCAGTAACTTAAACCACTTCATTGGTTTTCCTGTACAATTGCTAAAACACAGTAAAGGTACTCAGTATCAGCTTAATAGAGAATCAAAATAGACAATGTAAACTTAACAATAAAAAGGTATCTAAAAGCAACTCTTTTTTTTTTTTTTTTTTTTTTACCACCACAGAAGAGAAATGCAAGTTG